AAGATTAGCATAGTGATTAATGAATAAATTTTTTACAAATTTTTCCTTCACCTTCTATACACAAAACATATAAATCCGTTCCTGGTTTAGCGCGACTGTGTCGCGCAGCTACTTATTATTTATATTTAGCAAAAAATGAGTTTGTTTTTTGCTATATATATATTATCTCAATAATTGCCAAAGGCTAAATATAATACGTATTGTTTATTCTTAGTAACCTACGGTCAAGATAATATAGACGAGAATTCACATACTTCTAATACATTGACCACTGTAATCGATGCATTTTCATATACTGATTTCGAAAAAATCTCTTGTCAAGGTGATACATTAACCCTTGCAAGAAATAGGTTAGAAAGGAAGACTCGATCTCCTATGCGATTGCGTAACACAAATATTGAAGTTAACCAAGATATTACAAATACTGATGAAGGTATGATACAAAAAAACTTTGGACTCGTAATTAATGCTACTAAAAACTTGCTTTATTTCAAAAATAAAACATAGATCAAGGTAATAAAATTCCTGCAGATAACGTATCATCATCGCTAAAAAATACTGTTCAAAAACGTAATAACATCAAAAAAAAATGAACGCAATGCACAAAATTCTGGTGCTTTAAATGATATCGGTAAGAATACTGGTAGAACGTCTATTATTTTTCTTCTCATATTGGAATATGTATTTTATTTTCTTTATTTAGATAAAAAGAGAAAAAGAGGACGGCCGGCTAAAGAACCTTCTTTACATAAAGCAAGGGTTACTAAGAAGACAAGGAATAGTAAAAATTGAAAAAATTTTATTAATGTTCTTTAAGAACTTTATATATTATTTTATAGTTGCATGTATTGCATTATATGTGCAAGTTTATTATGTATAATGATTCAGAAATGAAGTTCCGGCTTTTATCCATGCATTAATTATAATTATAAAGTTATATATATTTTCGGTGTTATTTCCGTGACTTGGCAAAATTTTCTCCTTTAATCATTATGTACATTTCAGCAAAATCTCCAACCAATTTCCATAATTTCAATATAAATTTGCTTTTTATTATACAAACTTCAGTGACGCTTCCGTATAATTTCCATTACCTTATTAAAATAACTCCATAAATACTCCATAAATATGCTACATTTATGGAAGAAATAAGGAAGTTGCTATTTAGTAATTTAAATGGAAAAAATACGGAATTCATACACGGAGAAATTATGGAACAATAAAGTTTACTTTTTTTTATAGGGCGTCATGGCACTTGCTAATTGAGTAAACAATGTACCTAATTTCCCAAAAAAAAATTGGTTGAAAAAAAATTACGTATTGGTTATGTAGGGATGTATATTGGTCGTGGCACTTGCTAATTGAGTAAACAATGTACCTAAATTCCCAAGCCAAATAATTGTTTGAAAAAAATTACATACTGTATTGGTATGTATATTTGTCGTAACTAAAATTAATAAAAATCCAAATCTCAAATCTTTCCAAAAATGTGACAGAATAAGAAATCAGTGCTATGATTGGTTATGCTATTTGTGATAACTAAAATTATTAAATATCAAAAGTCTATCCAAAAATGTAATAGTATGTGAAATATAT